CTTTGCCCAGCGAACCCCCCTCCAAATCCCCATGCTGTCATAGGGTTGGACTGCAATGCTTTCCAAGCACTTCTGGGGAAACACCCCAACTCCACATAGGTAAAGCCACCCTGTAGCCTCTCTTTCTGGGGACTCCTGACAGGCACTACTCCACATTCCACTCCCTTTCTGCTGAGCTGGGACCTTGAAGCCTGTCAGCTGGGAATTAAGGTACCATTTTGCTACAGAAGAGGGTGCAGCGCTGTGCTGCCAGGCCTTCAGGAGCCATATGTATCATCACAGTGATCTGCCGAGAAAACTGGACAAGGCAATACCCTCCTGTCTCTGCGTTCCCCTTCCTCACACGTCTGTTCAGACTGCAGGCTCTCTCCGTGCCCATGTTTCCACTGCGCTCTGCTGCTGGAGCTTTCAGAAGGGTCTGCTTAGACCTGTTTTGCTATAAAAGGCCAAAAGCTTTAAGAAAAAAAAAAATACTGATTTTTTTTTTTAACCAGAAGCAGCTCCAAATGCCTAGAGGCCAGGCAGCATGGTTTGCAACCAGCTTTTCCCATGGCTGCTCTGGCAGTCCTCCCCCCTCGGAGGGTCTGTCTGACTCTGACTTCCTCCGAGGCTATAACACAAGCAGAAGCAAAAATACATAAAAAGCCCAAAACCCCAAGTTCCATCTGCCACAAAGTCTAAACGTGATTGTAAGGAAAGTGATAAGTATGGGCTGGCACAGGTTTTCACCCAGCATGCAGTTATGTGTGCTGACAAAGGGAAGATGGGGCGATATGTCTTTGCAGTAACTGCAGCAGCTGTAAAGCTGCCCACCATGAAACGCCCACCCTGTCAAATGGCAGGCAGATCGCTGCCAACATCACCGTGGCTGAGGGTGCTACAGAGGCACTACAGAGGTAAACGAAAAATGAATTTATAAAGCGGTGGTAGATAATTTTCAAAGGCTGTTGATTGCGGTTAGAAATAAGTTTCATAATCATTTGAGAGAGTTATTGCAGGGAACAGTGCAGAACTTTGGTCATGTCTTCAAAAATAAATAATCTGAATTGGTTAAATAAAATCTAGGCACAAGAAGACAATTTACTGACTGTGAATTGCTGAAAGCCTGGGGTTTAGTCAAAGATAACTCTCGTTTACCAAATGTGTTTAACGGAACAAGGGTACTCGCAGAAAACTGTTTTGTGGTATACTAATTGTGTATTTTATTTCGAAAACTGAATGCAGAGATGCTATTAAGAAATAAGACAGTACAAACTGTCAGCTTTGCCAAGTGAAACTAAAATAGGTTCTCACTTCTGAGATGAAACGGTCATTTGCAATACGAACCAGTGCACGATCTCAGTTTTTCCTCAAGAGTTTTTCTGAAATCCAAACCAGGGAAATAAATCTCAGCTCTAGCCTTGACAAGACTCAAGACAGGCACCTGCTCAACTAGCTTATCTAGTTTCACAGAGCAAGTCCCAGTGCAAATTAGTTGAAGGACACAGGTGGGTTGGGAAGCAGCAGGAAATGGAGCTCAGCCTCTTCCCACCATCAGTGCTGACTTGCTGCCTGAGCCTGGACGTGCAACAGGGACAAGGGAGCTCTCAGGGCCTGTCTTCCACCCAATTATTCGTCCTGCCCAGTTCAATCATGCTCTTGGAAACAGGAAGTGCCTTTCCCTCCTGCAGCGCCCATGCCAGTGGAGAGCCTGCCTTGGCCACGACAGGGAGGTGCTACTCCAGCAGCAACGTGCTGCATTACCTAAGCCTCATTTCATTGCCAAAGCTTGTGGTGGTGAGACTCCAAAGACTGAATTTCCCCAGCGTACATATTCCGTGGGTAGGCTGAGCCTCAGAAGAGTAAGAAAGAAAACCAGCTATCAGCCCACAGTCAGAAACATGTTGTCTTTCCTAGCACTCAGGCTTGGGCATGTTTTTATCTCCTACCGAGCACTCCTTTCCTCTGCCAGGACTCCCATTGTGGCCACAGTGCGGGGAAGCACTGAGCAGCAGGAGGAGAGCTGATGGAGCCGGAGGGTAGCACACGCAGAGCACAACTTCACATTGCAATTGCTCACCCTTGTTTTGGCCGCCCACGGGCAAGCAATACGCAGACTGTAACACAACCAGAAGCAAAAATAAAATACATAAAACTAAACCAGCAGATTTGTACTCCTGTTCTGCACACATAAGAAAATGGTAGGAAAAAAACACTAGTATATCCAATCCCTTCTAACATGAATGAAGCTCCTCATGACCTCAAAGCCACGCACTTGCTTGCAGCCCTGGAAGTTTAAGTGGTTGAGCGTTTCATTCAGGTGATAGAGCATTTCATTCAGGTGATAGGCAGCCCTTTTTAGTCTTAATCAGCAAATATCCAGAGAGCTAACTCATAGACATAAAGCAAATCCACTTAGGGAATAAATGTCTAAATAAATATGAGAGATGGGATACTGATCTTTTAATGTTCCTCTGCAGGGTAAATAAAATTATGGGTTTTTTTCACTTCATTTATGGTATTAGTTTATTATTGCATGATAAAAAGGCTCAGCATGCCTAGCTCCCTAGGTCTTCCCTCTGTCCTGGAGTGAGATGCTCCCCATCTAAGCTGAGCACTAAGGAGAAGGCAGCTGGGCAGCACACAAAGTCATGGTACTCATCAGCCAGGCATACAGATAACCCAGGGGTATGTCAACAGCCTGCCCAAAGTCCGTTTGGTGGAGAAAGAAGGCAATTACTGCAACAGAGACTAAGGGAAATTGGAGCAGGCTGGAGGAGCATCATCTTGCACAATGAGTTCACCATATTTGAGTCTGAGACACACAAATAGCCTTTCTTCTAGTTATCTCCCATCTGCCATCTTCATTTGGCCATTTAAACCATTTTTAAAATTATAAAAAAGTAATACTGCATAACTAATGAATGTCGAATTATTGGCATAAATATGCCAACATTTACTTATTTATTTGCCTCACCAAGAACATGTTCTCTTCTGGCTTTCTATTTTAATGACTACAATTTATCATGTTAACTAGACTTCCAGTTTGCTGGGTTTTGTTTCAAGTTGTGCTTTTTGCTGAGACATCTCCGAGAGGGCTGTCTCAGGTAAGAGAAGTAATAAAACTAATAAAAAAGCACCAAAAAGCACAAGTGACAGAACCACCTTCATTTACTACAGAGGGCCCTTCTTTCTTCTTGTTTGTTGATTTTACTGCCCGCTTGCCACAAACATTTTATTCTGCTTGTGGCAGCTCTCCACAAGGAATGTTAATTCCCTAATTTCCAAATAATTTGTTTTCCCTACCTACCAGCAGGCATCATAAGGAAGGAAAGCCAAAGCAGGAGAACCGCCCATGACGAATGAGAGCCATGCACGATGGCCCAGTCAGCGGTTTGAGGAGGCATCTGAAACTCCAGCAATGCCCGAATCAGTGCGGGGATCCTGCCCGCAGAGGATGTATCTATCTGCCACCTGTCTAACACGGTGGGAAACATTAGTCCCGCTGCACCAAGACTATATATTTCACAGCACAAGCATATGTGCTTTCCCCACCTGTCACAACTGTGAAATGTATAGATCGCATTTACTTCCTAGGCATTCGTCACTCAAATTAACAGGCAACTTGTTAGTCTGAGTGCAATTAGCACCCCAAACTTTACTCCAACCATATCTGATAGCTGAATTTTGCTTGCAGATCTTTTAGCAGCCTGGTGTATGCTTTGAATAAATATAGACCAACATATAGAGTGGAAATCCTGTGAAAACCCCAACAAATTTAACATGAAGCAAAGCTAAACATGCTGTTGGAGAACCTGCTTTGCCTTCATTAGAACCCGTAATGGAAAGTTCACATTTTTACAAACTGAAATTGAGCACTAGGTTCACCCGAGACCTGGCAACCAAACAACTGAGTGTAACACAACCTGCCAGGGCTGACTCCTGCTGCTGGATTTAAATGTGCCACTCCCTCTGCGTGCTTTTTATGAAAATGCCAGTTACATACAGACATGCATCTTGAAACATGACAATAGCATTTTGCAGAAGTATACGTGAGCGATGCCATATGATATGAGCAGTGTAAACCCTTATCTGTGTCATGGCTTGATTTCTTCTGCTGGAGAGTATGACCAGCACAGCCTGCAACCACACTGCCACGGGCTGCCTTTTCTACCATGGCCTGCATACCTACATACCAGTTTCTTCCATGTTGCAGCCACATTGTCTGCAGCATCCTCAAATGCCCGAGTACACTGGATCACTCCTTTACTAGGATATTTCTTCAAATTTAGTTAGATTTGGAATGCCAAATAATGGTGGGTTTAAATTCTTTTAATTCAGCATCTACCTTTCCCTCCTTGTGGTTGCTAGCACGTTAATGGGGAAAGCACAAACAAAGTTCCTTCACAAACCCAAAAGCATATTTACTCAAAATTTCAAGTAAGGAGGGCTGAGGGAACACACAGCCCAGGCTCCATGATGACAGGACAGCCTTCATCCACCACAGACCTCCTCTGGATGCTGGAGATTCAATGAGGCTCGTAACTCCAGTCTCGTACACAAAGAGGTTTTTTATGTTCATTCAGCAATCAGCTTTTTTTTTTTCTTTTTTCTTAAATGTTCTACAAATGTTGCCCAGAGTTCTTCCCTTGCTTAGAATATCAACCAGATAAATTATAGCATTTTATTAGTATTAGCTTCTCCAAGCCTCCAGTCCTTACCTGCCTGATGCTCTGACCTTCTTAAACCTTACCTTACCTGCTTCATACTTGTTGGCAACATGCAGTGAGAGAGACCTGCAAGGTGTCACCTTTCTGCATAGTGATGTGGCTTTTTCCCCCAAGTCCTGGATAAACCTAAATGACGCATACCCAGAGCATCTGTCACAGAAATGACATTCCTCTTGTTCTCTGCACATCTGTGACATTTTATTATCCTCTTATATTTCAGTGAAGCTGAGACCTGCCATTCTCTAGCCTAGCATCCATGGCTACTTCCCACAAGAAAAGGAGATTGCTTACCCGCAGGAAGGAGAGGTCTCGATTGTGCTCAATGCTGGTGATTTCCAGGTTGCCCATAACTACCTCACAGTTCTCATAGTACTTGCGCAGGGCCCGATACTGCTGCTCCAGGTCAGAGAGGGAGCTCAGCTTGTTCTCTGTGCCAGCACACACTGCAAGAAACCACAGGACACACAATCAGATTCAGTTTGTAAGAGGGGCACAGAAGCAGAGAAGGAAATAAGGTCTGTATACAGGGATACAAGTAATTGTAACAAAAACTGGAATTATTCACAGGATTGGGTCCTTCTTGCAAAAAAACCCCAGCACAAGTTACTTGAATATCAGCAACAGAGGTAGGAAGGTACTAATATGGTCCATGACAATCTCAGCCATTTAAATGCATCTCACCAAATGGGAGCAAGTGCTGGTATTTACTGCCCAATGTGCAGAAAGGCTGAAAATTCAGAAATGCAGGAAAATCACAAAACTAGTTGACCCCAGAACCTAAAGCGCCAAACTCAGGTCTCAGCAAAGTCCCTACTAGTTCTGCCGATGACAGAATCGGACACCAAACAGGGATGCGCCGGTCACAGACTAAAGGACATCAGGCTAGAAAGACATGGGCATCCAAGATGACCCAGGTAATCCAACATTTTCCCTATTCAGCTGGTGCTCAGAAGGGTCTGTCGGACAAGCCAAGAGCAACCTGACCACAAGGCTTATACCCAACGCTGTTTTCCCCAACACTTTCCTTAAGACCCTGGCTCTTCCCAGCTTTATGCAATTAAATAGGAGGAAAACAAGAGTAAAAACCATATCGTCTTTCCACAAGTCACCAGACTGTGGTCTGAATGTATGATGGAAATGTGTCAGATGAGTTTGGAGTTTGTTTTCAGAAGATGTCATTTAATACTATACTACTCCGTTCTAAGTTTTGAAGTCCGGCTCAAAGCTACTGCGGAATCACAGCTCTGCTCAGTCTATTTCTTTGCTGTGTGTGATAAAAAATGAATTTGGAAAAGAAACACAGAAGCAGCATTTTACAACAGTGTTTTTTTATGTGGTGCTCGGCCTACCAGGACACCAATGCTATTTAAATGGCCACGTGTGGGTGTGGGCTTTTTTTCTACGCACTTACTTTTCCTGACTAGCCACACTTTGTGGGTTGTTCTTACCTGAGACAAAATTAATCTGAATATATCCAAACTTCTGAAATGGGCATTATATTATGCAAAACGTAAGCCAGACCAGAACAGCATTTCTGGAGCCATTCCCACTCCTGCATTAGATCAATACAAACAAAACTCTCCATGACTGGAGGCATAATCAGTAAAATTGGCTAAAAAATGCTCTTTAGAATGATGCAGGTCCTTTTTTTAAATATCAGAAGTAATTAGATTTTTGAGTACTACTATTATTGACTGTTTACTTACTACACTTCCCCGCCCCCCCCCTCTTTTAAATAGAAATCGCAACAACTCTCATCTCTTTCCTCTGCTGTGGTCTCTCTGCTGCAGAGCAATCTGCTCTTGTGCCAGGGCGATTCGAGCTTCAAGCAGCCTCTTGGCGAAGGGCTTCAGGAGGCAGCCAGAAACCCACGAACTGCTCAAAGTTTTCTCCCAAGGAAATTCCCTCTGCCCTAAAAATGGCAGCAGAAATCTGTTCCTCCTGAACTGTAACTCCCCACTGGGGAGGGATAGCAGGGGCTGATTTCATGGCAAGCCATTCATGGGATGAAGGTTTTATGAGATAACTTTCGGGTTTTGTGTTTCCAGCAGCTAAAGAGCATGGACCAAAGCTGAATAGGCACTACATAGGGCTGTTTTTCTATATACACATTTGGTCTAGATACCAAAGAAAACATTGTAAGGGATGTAAATTTTTTTATTTCTTTCTATGACCTGGCAAAAGTAAAATTTTGAAGTCCTCAGTAAGTTTAAAAACTTGGAATATTTGACATACATTCATTATGCTGTGTTGCAGAAAACCAAAACTGTGTAGTTTGCTCAGGTTTTAAAGTAAAAACTACCACTTCAGTTCAAGGCTTAACTTAAAGCATGAACATTCACATTTTGAAAGTTTTCTCAGAAAACCTTACCACTTAAGCGTAAAACACATCTAAACAAGATTTTGTTTATAATTTTTTAATAGCCATTTTGGGGGATTCCCAAGATGGAAAGACATGGTCCCACTGGGATCTGACACAGTTCTGCTGGACTGGGACCACCTGGAAGGATTAACCACTGCTGCTAGGGGATGGCACACCTTTCTTTTTTAAATACAAAGCCCTGTTCTAGTTCATATTTAAGTTTTATTTGGAACAAGCTCGAAATCTGCCGTATAAGCATCTCCATCCTTCAGGGAGATACACACTTGTCCCTGCCAGAAGACTTCAAAAACGTTTGCAACCGATCACAAAATCAGTTTGTTTGCTTTTTCCTTAAAAGCAGCAGCAGCATCTATAACAACAAGATTGACTGCGTTTCTAGCCGAATAAGTATTATTCTGTCTTAAGGCTCCTGAGGACTAATAATTTCTATTCCATTTTGCAATCGGTGCTAAGGATCAACATAGCTCAGAAAACAATTCCAGCAGCTCAGCTAATAAAGCTATATACTGCAACACCGGTATTTCATGTTGCACACCCATTAAACGTTTCACGAAAGCTAATTTAGCCATTTGTTGCTGTAAGGAGGAAGAACACCTGAAGCCTGCTCTTGCAAGAGGATTCAACTTTTATTCAAGTAAGATTAATTTTGTACAACCAAACTATTGCAGCTTTTGATATTGCTATGGAAATAAATTCTTTTGAATGAATAAAATCTTAAAAGCAAATTTAGACGAAATCATGTTGATCCTTTACATTTATCTCACAGTAATTCCAAGCATTTAATTTCTGTCTTAAAAAAAGAAATCCCCTCTGGTCCTCTTTTACACAAAGCATCTCCTTGTTCCAGCTCACACCTGGGCCTCTGCTGCCTGCCTGATAAGCAGTAAAAGTACATGTGACCCAGCTCCTCCCAGCCTGCTCCGCCACAAAATTTGGGAAACCAGGGAAAGTCGCTGCCCAGCGTCAATCCTCCCAACCATTGCACAGCCTGGCTTAGCTTTTGTATCTCTGTACTGCTCTGACAAGGCACCTCCCCTCAACAAACAAAAAAAAAAAAAAAGAAATTGGTTACAGATCGCCTCAAATCAAGTTGTATGCCGAAAGTGAGACCGTCCTTCATCAATGGGGGGGTGCAGCAGCGCAGATTTTTTGCCATCAGTATCCAACCAGCAGTACAGCCACTGCAGAAACAGTGCTCAGCACAGGAGAGCACCCCAACCTGGGGAACAAGTTGACGTCCCAAAGCAAACGCAGGTTTAACCATGGATCATTAATAATCCATTACTATAATAAGCCATTAATCTCCCTGTGCCTCAGCTTTACAACACAGAATTTGAACATGTACTTTTGATGCACCTAGTAATTAGCCAGATTCAAAATACAAAAGGGAGGACTACAAGAAAGTATTTAAGAAAAGCAGGTTAGATCAATCGTCACTTGCAGGCAAATAGAGCTGGGACAATACCTCCATCCTTCGCAGAAAGTCCTTTAAAACATGGAGATCAGACATGCCTTTGGGGTTTTTTTTTAAGGCAGAATACAACTAATAGGGTAAATAGCCATTCCTGCCACAAGGGACACTGCCACGTACAATTACAAAGGTGCGCCTGCTTGCCCACACACACCAGGGAGCCAAACCTGGGAGGGACGCAGGCCGGAAAGGAGGTTGTGAACTGGTAGTTAACAATGTTTTAAACCTCTATTTTGAGCCACGGGAGGCAATTCCCAGCTGCCCCAGGGCAAGATTAATCATTCTGGGTCTGATTTGCCAAAATAGTTAAGAAGCACTAAAGCAAACACATCTGAGGTGGGAGTTGAGCTGGGGTATCATGGGATCCCCAGTCCCTCTGCCCCCGAGCTCAATGCAGAGCATGAAAATATCCCCCTCACCCTCCTGCTCATCTCTTGGAACAGCAACAGGCATCTACATGTTGTAGCAGCTCTTTAAAATTAAGTGCCAAAATAATACATATTTTCAGGAATGCTCCAGCCGTATACAGGCATAAACATGAGCTTGACAAAATGTATTTCCTTGTCATGCCACGCAAAACCACCATAATCTATATTTCATAAACTCTCTTCAAAGCACTTTGTTGCATATTGTTAGACACGTTATTTTATATAGCCCCAGAAACCGATAAGCAGCACAAAAATAAAGCTTGCGTGTTAAAAGCAGTCCCTGCAGCAGAACCTCTCCTGGTTAATAAAAAATACTAATTCCCCTGCCTCTAACAGAGGTCAAAAAAGTACCAGCTTAAGACGTGTCTCCAGTCTGCAGCTTTTCTCATGGTTGAGCATCTCTGAGCACGTATACTCCCGACTTGCTCACGAGGTCTTACAGAGGCCAGTGCCATTTAAATGCATGCCCAGGAAAACCTGATGTCCCCTTCCATGTTCCTAGATGGAAGCCCCAGCGAGCTGTTGACTGACAGCGTGTACCAGGTTACCAGGATGCCATGAAGCTCTCAAACACATCTCTCCACCAACACACACTTGGCCATTCCCTCTCTTTCCATATTCTGGCAACAAACCTCACAGAGTACGCAAGCGTATGTGCCCAGGGACACCCACCATTAATATTATCCTGAAGCTGAAGGATGTGCACCCTCCCATCCGGGAAGCCCCAAACCAGCGGTGACAGCAACCAGTCAGGCTGCCAGCCCATAGCTGTTTCTCATCCACAACCCTAACGTGGGCGATTTTGGGTCGGTGCTGGGGCAGAGCACTGCTTGGCCATCACAAAAGTGGATTTAAGGCACTACTCAAACATTCACACTTCGCATTCCATTATTTACTTATTACCAGCTACCTAAAGTGACAGAGAAGAGCTTCAGCTCCTAATGGCCCCAATTACAGCAGTAATAATCGTCTGTATTGAATTGAATTTATGTTTTTCATCAATATTTATGCACATGACTTGGAAATTAATTTTCCATTGACTTTTTTCATAACAAAGCCAAATCATTCGGATGCTCACTCAAAGGCAGCAAACAGGGGAGGCATTTAAAAATGTCCTTTAGCTTCTGCTTTTTAGGCCATTATTTTGCTCTGCTCTGTTGATGATAAATCTATACATTAAATTAAGAAATCATATTTGACTCAATCTTGTTCTGTTTCTTGTGATACTAATGGACTTTATAATCCTCCCAGCTCAACAGATAAACTAACTTTTGGAAGGAGGTCAGCTTGTTTAATTTCTTATTTGACCGCTCTCCGGATCTTCCTACATTTGGAGTTATTCAGGAAGAGTGAATCCCAACATCTCCAGCATTGTCACCCTCACCTGAAAGACCGGTGCCTCGTTCCTCTCCCAAAGCACACTCAGTTGAAGCAGCAATGAGGCATCCTCATTGCCAACTCCAAGGGATTTATCTCAAGCATCTGGATATATTTTTTGAATCATAAAACATTTATTATTATCTCTTTGGCAGGGTCACGGGAGAGCAGCGTGTTTGCCCCGCACCAGACTCTGCCTGAATGCAGCACGACCTCCCTTTGTCGATCGGTTTGTCAAGCGGGCCACCAACACAAGAGGAAGCTTAAGACTCCTGGACTCACTGGTTTCAGGAGCATACTTGGGAAAAGAGAACCCCACATTCCTTCATCCCAGTCAGGATGAGCCCAGAAACAGTCAGCACCTCTTTCTAACACATTCTTTTCCCGTACTTCCCACATATTTACTTAATTAGCTATGTTTTTACAGACAACACCATCATCAGGGTTTCTTGAAAGGCGGCTAACATAACTGTTTATTAATAATTGCAAACACTCGTGGCAATTTGTTAAGGCCCCCAGATGGGGGGAAATAGTCAAGCCCGTTAAGGAACAACTAATTACCAGCAATCCTGCAGCAGTCCCATTCATTTCATTATGCTCCATGCTCTCAGCAACAGCCTGGGCACCCTATCATGTACACACACACAGAAGAAGGGGTAAACACACTTTTAATCCTTTCATTATTATTTTACAGCTCTCCTTGAATGAGCTGCAAAAGCCCCGAATTTTCTTGCAATTAGGCATGTCCTAATGAAAGGAGGGACTGCCTGCACTTACAGGCTTGCAGATGTCTCCTGGGAGAAGGCAAATCACCCCTTGAGGTCACCAGCCATTTTCCTGTAAACCCAGTGGTTTTGGAGAGTGTTTTAAAATTAGAGGCTTGCTTTCCCTAGGTGAGAGACTGTAATGAAGGAGAGCATAATTTTCTCTGTACTCCTAATTAAAAGCTCAGCTGGCACAAGTGTTTTCCTTCCGTGAGGTCTGCTCTACACTAGAAAATTACCATCCCATTTGAATCCAGTTGCATGCAATCAACCCAACTGCCACGAACCCCTGGACAGCCGCATGGCCAGGAGAGGAGAAACTCAGCATTGCCATCCAGCTGCCGTTCAGTCCAGCCAGGTGTCGTGGGGATGAGGTGAGACAGTACAGCCTGGCCCACAGTGGCTCTGAGCCACACCATCACGGCTTTAATCACTTATACCTGCACGCAAACAGCCCAGAAACACAAGCCTGGGAGTGCTGTTATTTATTTTGATTTCCAAGTTAAACTCTCCACAACTGCTAAATAAAGTCAAATAAAACAAACAAACAAACAAAAAAAAAACAACCACAAAAAAAACCCCCTATAATTTTCATACAGGCTTCAAGCTGCAATGCTAAAAGGACACTCTGAAATACTTCTGTAGCCTTTTTTCTCTTTGCATGGAGAAGAGATCCCTGGTGCTACCAACCCAGGGACCAAGAGCATTAATTCCCTGAAATTTGCTTACTATACACCCAAACATCATTTCATCTGCCACTGTAAAAGCCTCCCAGCACTTCCAGAAAAGTTGCAGGAATGTGTTTTCTCAGGGTGGTCCCACCTCCAGTAGAGGCTCATCAGATGTCACCTACAAAGGCAAGATCTTTCTCAATTTTATGAACAGGAACACAAATAGGCACAGCAAAGACTGACAGGGATTCTAACTTCATCAGGAAGGATTAGTTATGTGTGATAACACTTTCCTGAGCTGATGGCACACTCTCCTTGCACAGAGCTCTCCAAAATCTGTTTGGTGGATGTTACACAGCATATTTTACCAATGTAGCGCTCTTGTTTGTACCAACCAAAAAACGGCATCAAAATGTTGTCTAGATTTATACCGCGACATTTCAAGGATAATTGCCCTCGCTGACCATGTTAAGCCATTGTCATCTGCTTGCATTATGCCAATATTTCCAACATTGTTTGTCTTTCAGTTTCCTCACGTATATATTATGATACAGCAACTGGAAAGGACAAAAATGGGAAAAAACGTACTGCAGGACCTATATTACACAGCTACCACTAAAAAAAAAAGCAGAAATTAATAGAAGAGGCTTTGCCAATGGTTCTTCCCCCCACGAAACCTTTGTACCAAATTTTTTATCTGGGT